AGACTAGCATCGCCTTAATACCACAGATCAGTGCCACTCAACTGATTATCCTGTAGACAAGCCTAGTGTAAGCCAGGAAATAACCAGCACTCCAATGTAAACAAAGGCTTCTTTCACAACCAGCCACCCAAGAGATACACATCTCAGCTTTGACCTAGAAAGTGATCTTAATTCCGTAATTCCCTCAGAATTTTCACTACTCAAAAATTTTAAAAGCAAATCCTGTGTAATTGCCAGAAATCCAGCCCACTCAACATTACATTGCAAGACATTTTCCACAAGTAGAAACCATTGAACTGTCACGTTAAGTATTTAATAGTTTTCTAACTTGTTAATTTAATTTTAAATTAGACATTTTCAGTTTGAAATAGGAGCCGTGTCCACTCCAAACTGAAATAATACCACATTTCTCCTGTTTTAGAGCAGTATTTGTGCAGGGTTTTCTGCGTCCTAAGCTGGAGAATATTTACAGCCCACTGCAACTGGGGCCAACACAGGCATGGCTATTCCCCTGGTTTCAGTGATCCATGTTTATGTTAAAGAGGACTCGCACTTCTGGTTCCACTGTGTGCTACCAATTTAACTGCGTCCTCCCTGCATGATTTTGCTGGTTGAACTAGACAAGTCTGCCTACTCTAACAAGTCTCTGTGTCAGCAAGGATTTGGCAGAGATGAAATAAAAGCAGTCAGAAATGGCTCAGTCTGCAACACCCTTGGGCTTGACAGCTCTGGAGAGGGGAAGAGAAGCTTTACACTCTCAGTTGTCTCCTGCCTCTTTTTAAAGAGCATGAAGTTTTGGGGCAGTATAGAGAACACAGATTGTCCTCCCCCACCTCCCCTGGGGGGTGAACTCTGCCAATCTAGTGCTGTACTGATCTGCATACTTGCTGTTGGTTTTGGTTTCTTCTTTTTTTTCGGGGGGGGGGGGGGGGGTGTCAGAGGCACTCTACTCTTCTAGTTTTTCCTGCACCTTACCCATAAGAAAAAATGGGCAGGTCCTGACTTCTATTTCACATTACTACCAAGACACAACAAAGTGCCTTTGTTCTTTAAAAAAATAAAGAAAAGGGACGTCCATAAGAACAAGCACTACACTGAATTTTAAGGCATTTCCAAAAGCTGCGTGAGCTTACAATTAAGTTAATTTGAGAAGGAACAGCCATTTAACTTTACAGATAGACACAGAAAAGAACTTCCCTTCAGCTCCAGCTAGCCAGACTAGTACTCTAACTGGCTTTGGCAGTCAGAGATCCCATTCGCCACTTCCTTTAAACACTTAAACAAAAACTACCCAAAGTTTGGCCTGTCATGATTTGAACTGTTCTTGTGCCTAAATGGGGGCAAGCAGGAGTCAATACAGGAACAGCTACTATAGTGATTCCCTGGTGATACACCTCATTGTTTCATTAGCAAAGGCACTGAGAAGCTTAGTATTTGGGGGGTTGGGAGGGAGAACAACAACCCACATCTAACTTGGAAGTTGTATTTTGTGATTGTCATTGAATATCCCTTCTCTTACAGCATCACCAGCATCCACAACATGCCACTTAAGATGACAAGTGTGTGTATATACGGTGCTGTGATACTATTTACCTGCTCAAGTTACAATACAAGCCAGCTTGCTCAAGAGAAAAATAGAAGTCTGTCTTCATATGCTTATTGAAGCAACCTGGGATTATATTGTAGAGTTTTGCTCTGCATTCTGGTAAGATCCTTGGTTTTAAGCCTCACCGACAACCAAGAACTGCCAGTTAACCTTTACTTTAACAAAGTCTTCAAGACTTAAAATAACTCATTAAAGCGCTATGTGCCACAAACACTTATTTTCCCCATAACGTCTTTATCAAGAAACAAAGCATATGGGAGATAGAACAGGTATTCATTCTGACAACTACTGTTGTACAGTCCTTTCTCCTTCTGTCACTGTTCTCCCTCTTGGGACAGAAAAGAGCTATCCAAGACCTCACTCATTAAAAAGCTTTAATATTCCTCAACTGCTCCACCTTTATATAGGTTTTGGATTTCCCCTTCAATCTCCCTCCACTTCTGGATGTCTTGCTCCAAGTCCAACAACTCCAACTGCAGATCCCTTGTGCTTGAGTAATGTTAATTTGACAACTGAGTGATCTAGAGCAATTTAAGCTAGTTTAGATCACATAACTCGTATCCACTGCCTGTTCATTGCCCTCCAAAACCCAACCATTGGGTTCAACCCAGTGACTCGCCACACTTGACATAACACAAAAGCTGTGTGTACCGGAAGGGCTGAAGGATCAGCCTTACCAGGGGAAAGAATAAGTGTTGATTTTTGTTTTAAGGTAGAACAAGTAATGTGGGCGTAAACAAAGGGACACATGGGAGCAGCTGACTTGAAAGAATACAGTCAGTAGGAAAGAGGGATCAGACATCATCAAGCTCAAGCTCTGCACTGCAACTTCAAGCAACCTGCCATCAGAACAAGCAGCGTCAGTCTAGTTTCAATTCAGCCCAGACGTTACTTAGGTTATCATAAAGAAACTATTTTCTTTCTTAAGTCAGTTACTCCAGATGGCACTTTTGAAGTACTTCAGTATTCACCACACACAAGTAAGGCACAGTCACTTCTACTATTGTTTCAATTTTGTTTCAAACACATATAAAAGGCTACCTAAGGCACTGACAATACTTAACACCAGCACCCCAGAAGAGATGCATGATACATGCAAATGGTTGCAGTACTTGAGTAAGCAGAGTTGAATCAGTAATAGGGGTAACTGGAAAAGCTTACCAGTTTTTACCGTTATAACATGAATCCTTCAGAAAAGAATTAACAGAAAGGTAACTAGAAGTTAACCCCCAAATCAAACAGTCTAAAAGTGTACTTACACACTCAAAGAGCATGTGCTTATAGAAGGTCTTAAGACCTCACAATACAAGTTAAAAACCACACACACCAGAAAGTAACAACTAATACTTATTATCAAGAGGCTTCAGCTAAATGTCAAGCTTGCTTTCATGGAGCACAATTAGTTAAAAGTGACGTTCCAAACAGCCAAAGAACTATATTAGGTTACTAACTGCTCATTTTGATCAACTTAGAGAGCAACTGTTCTAAACTACTGCCTCCCTAGAGGGATCATTTATAGGAAAGAGAAGCTTTGCATCAACTCCAGCTCCTACATTAAGCCTATACTTAGTGTTATTAGCACATCCAAAGGTGCAGACACCTCACTGAATGTCAGTAGCAACTTCAGTAGTTACTAAGGCATTGAGGGCCATACTTATGCTCAGGAGCCCAACCACTGTATGTGTGAGGTTCTTATTTTTTAAAAGAATGTCACCCTAAATGGGTAAAAAAATCCCCTGCTAATAGTTAACTACGTTAAAGTTTCTCAAACCAATCATCAACTAAAACCTAGAGATAATGCTGAAAGTGCAATAAACATATTACTGTAGCTCGCTGTACCTGGTTATGCAACTTCACCCCCTTACTGCTAACACTGCTTTCTTCCACCCTCACGCTTTCAAAGACATTACTTCAGTCTCAGGCCAAAATCCTCCTCCGGGGATTGCTGTGCCACTCCGAAGCCCAGGCCCTTTGCATGGACACCCAGCACACCCCAGCCGGCGCTGTAACTGCCCCAGTCCGGTGCACTCAGCACGCATTTCCTTATCGGGGTATGAGGCAATTTTTACGTAAGGGACGAAAAAGGCAATGGGATTCTCCCGAGGAGCCGGGCGGACCCGCGCGTGCTCTTGGGGGACGGGGTTACTGTATCCCGGCTGGAGGCGGAGGCCGCAAAGCCATGTGCGTGCGGGGCGCGGGGCGGGCCCTTCAGCACCCGCCGCCAGGTCCTTTCGCTTTAAATCTGGCAGCGAGCGACACATGGAGCCGCATTGTGCGCCCCGCGCATGCGCGCCGGGCCGGGCCGGGCCAAGTCCCCTCCGCGGCCCAGGCAGGGCCCGCGCTCGACCGGCGGCGCGGGGACAAAGGGAAGGGGCGGGAGACGGAACCAGCGGCGCAGGGCTGAGCTGCGGGGCTGCTCCCCGCCGTGGACCCGGCGCCCCGGCACTTCCCGTCCCCGGGTCCAGGCTCCACAACTCCTCCTTCCCCGCACCCGTCCCGCCCTCTCGCCCCCGGCTGAGCCCCCTCGCTCCTCCCTGCAGACTCCCCCCCGCAGCACGCGGCGAGCAGCCCCTCTCGCCCTCCCCAAGGCGGGCCCTCCACCACCCCTCCGCCCCTGTCCTCTCCCCACAGTCCGGGCCTGCGGAGCCCCCAGCTCTCCTGACAACAAAGGGGGAAGCGGCCTCCCCCTCCCGGCCAGCCCTCCACGGCGCAGGGTATGGGAGGTGAGGGTGGGAGAGGGGAGGAGAGGCGGGACGGGGGCACCTCAGGTCCTCACAGGAAGGTGAGCGAACGGGGCGCGAGTCGCCTCGGCCCCGAAGTACCGCTTCCAGGGGGGCTCCCTCCCTCCGTCCTCCGCCGCTTCTCTGTGCCTGACAAACATCCCCCTCACACCAGAGACTTCCCCGAACACAACCCCCGCACCGCGGGGAGCGAAGCCGCGGCTCCCTTCTACCTTGTCCGCGTCGGGCAGACACGGCTGCAAGACCTTCGCGGGGCGGGGGACCGGCAGGCGAGCAGCGTCGTTGCCAAATTCCCACTTCCCTGCCGGGACGGGGGCAGCGAAGGAAACGCTTCCCCCGCCATGCCGGCCCTCCGCACCCCTCCCCCCGGCTGCCCTGGCAGCGATCGCCGGCAGGCTCCCCCTCCCCCCCTCGGCCTAGTTACCTCAGTTCCCGGCTGGGCAGCAGAGCGGCGGGGGGGACTGTAATCTCCCCTTTCCTCTCGCACACGCACCCCGCCGGCCGCCCGCACGCTCCCCGAGCCAGCGCCCCTTCCCCCATAGCAGGCCCCGGTTGCTCAGAGCCCGGCCGGCCTCCGCTTCCCCACACGGGATCGGCTCAGCCCTCCCCGCCTCCCCCCTCCCGCTCCCTCCGCCGGCCGCCAGCCCGGTTACCTGCTAGTTGTCTCCGCAGTAGCAAGGCGGACTGGAGCTCCGTCATTCTCCCCCTCTCTGCCCGGGGAGGGAGTCCCAGCTGCGGCGGGGACGGCGCGGCTCTTGGTGCTGCGAGAGCCCGAGGCGGCGGCGAGTGGCCCTCAGCCCGTCCGCACCGCGCCGCGCCCCCCGGGGGTCTGGCTCCGTGCCGGCCGCTGCCACAGCACGCAGGGTCCCTGGCAGGGGCGCGCGGCCGTGGCTCCCAGCCTCCCTTCTTCTTCTCCTCCTCCTCAGCACCACCACCTCCTCCTCCCCCCGCCCGCCAGGAATTTCACTGCACTCCGGGCCGCGGCACGCAGGCGCACTCCGGACCGCCCGCCGGCCCTTCCGCAACGCCATCTTGAGAGGGACGGGAAGGCGGGCCGAGCCTTCCTTCGGCCGCCATGTTGGGAAGGTCCCCTCTCCACTTCCTCCTTTTTAAAGCCAGCAGTGAGGGAAGAAAAGCCTGTTACGAGGAAGAATGTCCGCAGGGGGGACATAGTGCGCTCTCCTGCGCAGCGCGGCTGTTCTGCTGGCTGCTCCTGCTTGGCACCTCTGAGGGCAGAGAGGCTTCTGAGGGACAGCTTGCTGCTCCCTGCGGGACACGCGTCTTCCCTCAGCTGCTGCACTGTACAATATTACACACAGGGCAGCAAATAACAAAAGTTATCTGGGCACTGTCTTTCCTTAGAGTGCTGCCATTTCCACAGCCCTACAAAACACACGATTTTCTTGAGGAGGGGATAGAAATAGCAGCTAAATAGCACAGGCTAAAAAAGAGTTAGCTGCTGGATAGGAGTTGCTTATGCAGGTTTCCTGCAAAATGTAAGAGATTGTGGGTGTGATGGGGATGCTTGTGTGAGGGGGAGCGTGCCACTGTGCTGAAGGTGTGCCCAGGAAAGAGAAGGAGGTATAATGCTTAAGTCAAAGCCCTTGTTGTGCTTGTGAGGTAAAGGAGCTCTCCAGCACTAGTTTATCCCTGAAGGACATAGGCTTGATTTTACATCTCCACCAAAAGCCTTCAGAATAGGAGCTCTTGCAAGGTGACTGCAAGTCATGACAGGCACAGCTGACAGAAAGAGGTAAAAATTAAGACAGTTTATCCCAAAGAACTAAGTAAATGGTCAGGAAAGGACTGACAAAAATGCAAATTGTATATTCATGTGTTGACTGTGAAAAATATGCTGTGATAAATAGGTGTGTGAGACTAAAATGAAAGGAATGGGCAACTCTGCTCCTCTGCCATTGGCTTTGAGTATTCTGTTGGATTCTTTGATTTTACATTTTAATTCTGAAATAAATACAGTTTCTGGGTAATTGGATGAACCATTATTGCCAGTGACATAAAGCAGAAAACACCCTGCCCTATTGCAGAAAGAAATGACTACAAAGGGATTTATCCTGTATTTGTTTGCTAAAATATTCAAATTTTCTACAGAAACAACCCTCTTTGGTTTTTTTCTACCACAAAAGGTTTATTTTGTTTGTGAACAACAAGCTCAGCTTGCAATGAAGGAAAGAGATGATGAAGAAGAGAGATGTTTTTAGTTGGCAATGCTAGTCTTTTCCCATGCTGCAATTTGTAAGGCCTAATATAGTCTGAGAGTTTCATTACTGGGCTAGTACAATTAATCAGAATACTATTCTCAGATATGCTTGCAGTTCTGATTAAATCTGTCTTCTTCAATGATTAAACTAGGATGATACAAGACATACCACACTGTATGATACTGTTACTGATTCCATCTCATAAAGGGTGTTCTTAGCCAAAGAAAATCTCTGTAGACTTTCTTCTTTGTACATTGACTCTAATTCCCAAATGTATTTTGTATTTGTATTTTGCATTGCTTCAGACAGGTTCATTCGATCTTAAAAAACAATCTATCCATTTTAACATAGAAGTCTATCATGTTCAAGTGCATTTTGTAAATTTACTATGCTGAGAGACAGTCACCCAGATTGGAATTGAGGCATGTTGATGGGAAGTGACACTATTGTGGATGGTATTTCTCTTTCAGGAATAAGAGGCAGGCTTTGTTCCCAATGTCAGTTAAGCCAGCACTAAAGTAACTCACTCAACTTTCTGTACCTGATGTCAGTTCAGGCACAAATACATGTTTCTGACAGCTCTATTAATAGAGGACCTAACTACAGCGCTGAAGACTGAAAGGTTATATGAAACAATTCTATTACATTCTAGTAATCAAAATCATCCCGAATTGTTCACCGTTAGGTCACTCACTGGCAGTTATCTTACTTAACAAGGGAAGTATTTTATGGTCTCCTATGGCTTGTGTATTATTTTCCTTGTAAGGAACATAAGAGGCTGTGGGTAGAGAAAGAAAGGATATGCTTTAAGCTGGCATGGATGACCTGGATTCCTTTATTCTAGCACCAGATTCAACTCTAGTTTATAAGAGCAATACATGTTTCATCATAGGAAGCACTAGCAACTTAAAGTACTTTAATCTTGCTCTGTCAAATCACCTTGTGTGCAGCTGCAAAATGTAGAATATGGCTCTGGTGGTGAGGGCAGGTGTGTGACCGAGACATAAACTAGTTTCATGTTACCTTACAGCCATAACGACTCTATGGAATCCTGTCATGAAAATGAAGCCATCATGCCACAGCAGTGTGGAACTAGGTTGACTCCCAGTTCATGTTGCCTGTCTGTAAACACAACATGCTATCTAAAAAGAGAGAAAAGCCTTTCCCAGGCTGGATGAACTGATCTGAAGTGTTCTGTTAATATCTACTTTTTGTACTTCCTATGCACTAACACCTCATCCTACTATTTGCTGAGGCAACAAGCAGTACATTTTAGGAAAAGATCTCAAGAGAGGAGAGATTGTATTCTTAAATCTGTTTTACTGTCTCTGGCACACAGCCTCTCTGCAACTGTCTCTCCAATCTCTGCATTAAATGGAAGGGCAATAAGAATTTAGATCATTTTCTCTTCCCTGAGACATTTCTTGTATAATGACTGTTCAGATGCTACATCCATTTGCTGTGGTCCTTACTGCCTTAATCTTTTCCCTTGGCAAGGGTATATTATCATAATCGGTCTTCTTGTGGTTAGAATAGGAAATCCTGGAAGTTTTTCTGTCACCTTAAAAACGGTCAAGGTTTCACATTCAGCATCTTGCTTTGCTTTAATATGCTGTCTTTCCTTTGACTTTCTCCCACAATTCCTCATTCACAACACAAATCACAGATTACACTCTAGTAGTTTCTGTTCAGTGGAGAGTCTTCCAGCTGGATTCACACCATTAGCAACATTTGCTCCCCTACTTCAACTTCTTGGCAAAAACAAAAAGCTGATGATAAGATGGATATAGTTCCCTGCAACATGTTCTTCAATGTTAATCTGATTTTACATGCTGGAGTCACTGAAGAGACATTTTAAATGGTAGCAATGTGAGGTATCATTTTTTAGGATTAAAAAACGTTCCTGTTAGGCAAACAGGAACCATTTATATATCCATTATAACATCTGCAGGCTTGAGTTTCTTGAAGCTTGTATCTAGCAAACAAGGAACTTGTTTTCTTAAAGGTTAAAGGCTAATTATTTTTAAGTATTTATATTCTGGAATCAAATTGTCATCAGGAAATAGTACCATTTTGTTATGTTGTGGTGTACCAGTCTACCCCCTTACACCTGTTTTTTTTTTTTGCTGTGCATTTGCTGGTATCTTAGCTTGCTTTAAGGAGTCTCTCTTTGAATAAACCTTGACTGAGTTTGTTACTGAGTAATAAAAACCAGATTACTTCTTCATATATTCTATGCAAAGGTATGCAAAGCTAACACTTGTACAGGACCATGGATATGTATCATAAAGGCAAATGCTCTGAAATTCCTTGTTAAGAGAGAATTTGGGGAAAAGAAGGCAGGGATTCACTGTATTTTTTCTTCAACTCATAGCTTCCTGCTGGCTTGAATAAGAATGTAACAAGGACTAAAAGCTGTTTTGTTTTCAGTTAGATGTCACCTATAAAGTAGGAGACTAAACCTGGGCTGAGAGCATCGGTCTGGCCACAGATTATTTTGCCGAAGTTCAAGGCTACTCCTACATAACAGGTTCAAAAGTTTAACTGTTACTCAGATGTTCTTTGGCTCATTTTTCAATGGGAAGGAGGGGGGGAGAGGTGTGGGGGTGTGTGTGTGTGAAGAAGTGGGGTTTCCTGGAAAAAAATCAACCGGAGAATCAGTAGGATGGCAAACAGAGAGAAACCTGGTATGGGAATTGCTGCAGCTGCTATGACATATCTCTTTAGAACATACCTGCATACAGAGTATGATGAAAATGTTTATATTTATTTGTACTGTAACAATTTTTAGCTTCTCCAACTAAGATCAGAATCCCAGTGGGTTAACAGTAATCGCTAACAATCTCCTGTAGAGGTAAGAATCTCCATTCTTCCCTAAGAGTCTAAATAGTTAGCAGGGACATGTGTGGCAGTCCATGGTGCTAAAGATACCAGAGCAAGCTTGTACTGGATCCAGAAATAGGAGCTTGTCCTGTCTTCCACTGCTGATACATGAAACCACAATGGCTTTAATGTTCAAACCTCACCATGTATCTATCTCTCTGTCATTCCTTCATAAATCCAGCAGTATCCCACCTCAGTCACTGGCCACAGATAAAGGTTTTGTTTGTGGCAGGAAGCATGGAAAACGATTGCTTGAGCCAGGGAGAAGGCACACTGGTGAAGACTATGTTGCTCACTGGAGGGTGACACCTAAACAAAGTGTTTTGATGTGACTTTTGGGTAAGATTTCTGGTATGAATCAACCTTGACAGGAATGGTCATGGTAAAACAGTCTCTGGAATTGGAGGAAATCCTTTCAGAGTCTGATGGAGTCAGGCTTTTGGTAGGAAGGCTATATTTAAGACCTGAGTAACCCAGAATGACCTTCTTCTAAACTTTAATTGTACAAGCTGAAACTGTTACTTAAACGGATAGCATTCTTAGCTGGGAAATGGAGACTTTGCCTGGGCATTCATGTTAGGATCAGGGTAAAGTGCCTACCTAGAGGTGTTCACTTTACACAACACAGGCATAATTTCTTCCCTCATTATTAGTGAGGAATGAAAGCAGCAGAAATTCAAGTAATGCTGAAAGGCTGGCTTGAATGCCAGAATAGTTATGGGAAGGGTTAAACTAAAATGAAAATTGCCATTTTCTAGCTCCTATTTCTAAAGGAGTGAGTATGAGAAAGTTTTCCTTGATTAGGTATCCCAGAAATTTTATTTCATTTACAGGAGAAGGAGTATGTTTATAGTAGTTTATTCAAACTCCTACTAGTTGAAGGAAAGCGCAGACAGCACTGCTAACTGAAGTAAGCTAGTGACAACTTGGGTGGCAGAGGAGGAATTTGTCCATATAAGCAAAACCCCAAATACTGAAGTGCCCAGCAGTTCTGGTTGCAAGGGCAGTGCTGAAGAGATGAAGCAGAAAAGGGCTAAGACTGACACCCATTGCAGCTTTTCTGAAATAGACCAGTTGTCCATTAGAAATGCAGAGCCCAGTAGCGCTAAGAGGATGCAGAAGAAGATGATAAAAAGCCTGAGACACATCCAGAAAAATACTTGACATGTCCATGGGCACAATCTGACATAATGCACGAGGTTTGGTTCACAATACCTTGGAAAGGACAGGGCATTCTTTCCATGGGAAAACAGAGAGTTAACCATGAGTTAAGATTCTTCAGTATTTTGAGAATTTTTATAAACAAGAAGCTTACCAGTAACGTGCCAAGGGCAATCAGTGTCCAGCTCAAGACAGCTGACATCTTGCTCGTTTTCCAAACGAGGGTACCGCTTTGGCTGCCAGAGATGTCCATGTGGTGTTTTTGTTGTTTCTTGATTGTGGAGATTTGGCTGCACAATTACTGGTTTTTGAGTCTTTGGAGGAGGTGAGGATGGTTTTAATAGTGATGTCATTATGGTGTCTTGTGGGATTGATGGATCCTCTGCTCCTCCCATTTGATCCCCTTGTGTCTCGGCCTGACCCATTACTTTGGTTTTCACCATGTCCTCGGCTCATTTCTTGGGTGTGAAACTTTGGGGTCGAAAGATGAAGGTGTCTGAGTCGGTTTTGAAGGAGACTCTTTTGGCATCAAACCCATTGCATCTCAGGCCTGAGGTGGAAACGTCACTCCCATTCCAATTACTCCAGCATGTCTCAGGAACATGTTCATAAGTAACTTGCCTCCATCAACTCTGGTTTCTGACATTGCCAGGTGCTGTCCTTGTCCCACGATATACAGAGACGAGGTATTGCTGTTCCCAAGGCTGTACTGCTCCCACGAATGATATCCTGTGTTTCGTTTCGCACCTGTACAGCATTCCTGCCTTAAATAATTTATATAGATATAATAGAACTATTTCCTGGTGACATTTTTCATGGCCCAGGTATTCATTAACTTTGACTCTCTCATTCATTGGAAAGTAAAAAATGCCCTTTGGTCAGAATCGAGCCAGGGTCAAATATTTCCAAGCTCTACTAGGAGCCTCCTGAGTAATGTTTAACGAAAAACCCATTTCAGTAATGTCACATACTTTTGAATGAGGATTGAATGTACATCCTAATAATTGATATAACCCTGTCAGTTTTCCTAAAGAATGTTTACCATTCTTATACCTCCTAGGAGAGGGGGATTTTCTCACACCTCTGCTAGGAGATGACCTAGAAGATGTCTGGCACGATCTCGGGGAGGCTCAATGGGATGAGGATCCGTATACTGATTTAACTCTCTTGACCACTTTTCTGCAATAATTTTGTCCTCGCTTTCTCACCTAAAACTAAATTCCCTTTGTGCACTGCCTTTCCTCTCTGCTTCCCATTCTAGGGTGTGCTGGAGCACAACCTACAGAGCGCAAACATCTGACACCTGCTCCCACAGCCGAGAAGCCAGGACAGAAAGCTGCTGCTGGGCATCTTCTATGCACAGTGAGCACAACAGTGCCACCAGCATTGCTCTTGCTCCTCACTTTCCCACCTAAAACTAAACTCCATCTGTGTACTGCTGTTTTGCTGAGACAGGGTATGCCACAAAGTGACCACACTCTATCTGTATAATATGCAGAGGTTATTAAACAAGCACACTGAAGCCAGTAAACACACTAAAAGCACGCACACTAATGTGAATTAGGTAAATATTATATATATTGAATAAATACAGTAAGACCAATCAGAGATATAGGTGTATAAATAGAGTACTGGAGAAAGTTAGCAATGCATCAGATCTTTACTGCGTAGAAACAACAGAGATTAAGAAGAAATACATTACCAGGCACCAATGAGTCATCACCCAGGCCCACACTTCCAGCTGGGAAGCCGTGTTGCAGCCGATGCCAAGCATCACAGGTAATTGGAAAAATTCTGACATGGTGCATCCACACACAGGTAAGGCTTCTCTCATGGCCACATGTGGGTCCCGCTTTTATACCCGTATCAAAACAACCGGCTTTGAGCCAGAGCTCTAATCGTTTACTCATGTTACCCTCTACACAACCCCGAGCTCATACACGGCCAGACCCGGCTGGGCCATTCACACACGCATACGGCCCCGCTCCCACCGGGCAGCGCCAGGCCTCGCATGGACACCCACCTCCGCCGCTCTGGCCTTGCCGCAACACCTGCTGCTACGGCCCTCACCGGTGGAAAGCTCCCGCCTCAGCCCAGGGGATGCCCCTTCCAGCCGCCTTCGGCAACACCGCACGGCTACCCTCCGGCAGCAGTTTGCAGCGACGGGGACACGGAGAAATGTGTGGAAGCGATAATAGGGGAAGCAAGGCAAGGCGGATTCAGCCAATGAGAACACACTGCTGGGCGGCCCCAGCCAAACAGGTTGCAGCGCTGGGAGAACCCGGCCAATGGGGAGGCAGCGCGGGGCAGACCAGCGCGCACCTGCCCCTCCGTATGGAAGCCGCGGTTGCCGCCGTGTCCATTTTCACGAGCACGCACGGGAGCTGCGTGAGCATCCTCCTCTGCCGCCAGCACTCAGCAGAAGGACATGAAGGCACATGAGGCTGTACGTCTCAATACAACACATTTGTCTCCAGCAAGGGCAACCTAGATTACAACAGGTGCCAGTGCTGGGATGTCCCCTGAGAGCTCAAAGAAGCAAGCGATGCACTAATTAGATGTAAAGACCAAATCTTGCTCTGCCTGCAGTAAAACTCAGACCAGTTCTGAGCACAGATTTCCACAGTGATTCCCTGAATTTGCCTTCCCTGTGTTTGCCTTCCCTGTGTTTGATTCCTGGGCCAGGGCACAGGTGGTGCTTTCCAGCACCCTCTGCTTCACCCATCACTAAGTGTCCCCTCTGACTGAAGATGCTCCCCATGCTGCTGCAGCACCCACTTTGCAGAAGGTGAAGGACAAAGAAGTGCCTTGGCAACAGCAACCAGAGGAGCCTTGACACGCTCGAGCAGAGGTGGACGGGCTGAACAAAGCACCTATGGTGCTCCCCAAGCCCAGGGATGGCAGCGGCATAATCTGTACGGCTGGGAGAGGACAGGTGGGGAAGCTGGGGGCAAGGCGCAGGCAGGATGGGGCAGCCGCAGGCTGCACATGCCAGAGCTCCTGCCTTGCGTGACCGTTTCCTTTCAGTCACCTGCAGCTCCCCCAGAATCTGCCCCCAAAAGGCTCCCTTGAGCAGCCCCCGTCGGGGACCTGAGCCAGCCCCAGTGCTACAGCTGTGCCCACTGCATGGCAGCACTGGCCATGGGCAACGGGGAAACCGCTGGGCTGGAGATGGAGCCCTGCCTCCCAGCGGGAGAGCGTGAGGGAGCCTTGCAAAGCCTCTCAGAAATGGCAGCACAGCAGCAGCATCCTCCTCTGCCCCCAGCTCTCACCAGAAGGACCTGAAGGGACGTGAGGGCTGCACGCCTCAATACAACACCTTTGTCTCCAGCAAGGGCATCCTAAATTACAAGGGGTGCCAGTGCCGGATTGGATGGGCCACTGGTGCGGGCCCAACACTTCCAACAGTCAAAAGAGAGGAGAGGAAACCCCGTGTGCCCACCGCGGAGAGGGCCCCGTGGCACAGTGCGAGATGTGGCCACATGAGGCACCTTGTGTGCTTTGTGGTGTGGGTGGGCAGCGTGCAAGGAGCGTCCGTGGTGGTGGGAAGGGGCCGCTGGCCCGTGGAGCCCCAGCGGGCTCTTGTGAGAGGTTCCCCAGGGCATCGCAGCCTTGTCCTCGGCTTAAGGCCCTGTCCCTGGCTCTGCCCTCCAGGACGGGCATCCAGAGAGGAGTGAGAAGGAACAACCCCCTTGGTGCAGGCCAAACGCCTCTGCTGGGAGCTGCTCCTGACTTGTCTCCTCCTGTAGCTGTCCAGAGGCCTGAGGAGAAGCGGCGGCAGTCCCTGAGCTCACCACCTTCCCTGGGGCAAGGAAGGCCACGCAGGAGGAGCACCTGCCTGCTGGTGCCTGGCAAGACCCACCCACTGGCGCTGGTACAGTACTGGCTGTATTGCAGCATCTTTTGCCCTCCTCGGGGGTAGAATGTGCTCAGTGCAGTTCCTGCAGGGCTGGGGGCAGGCTGACCTGACCTTGCCTGCCTTGGGGCAGGAGGTCTCGTCCTTGGCTGGGTGGGAAGTTTGGCTCTCCCCTGCCCCAATGTGTGGTGGCTGTGCGTGACTGCTGCCCGCTGCCGGAGCAGGTACTGGCCTGGGCAAGGCGCCGTGCCCACAACGAATGGGGACCGGAGCTCTGCGGTGGCTGTGGCAGAACCCCAGCTTCATGGTTTGGCACAGGCCTGCTTCCACACCTCCTTCAGAGCGGCTCTGCCGGCTGCCCGGAGAAGGAACCAAGCTACTGCTCTCTCTTGGCAGTTCCCTGAGCTAAATCCCGAGTACCCCATCGTGGAGGAGATCCTGGAGAGGGAGAGGGAGGCAGCGTGGGAGCGCTCACAATGGCTCTTGGGACTTAAGGCTGGTAAGGGCAGACTGGGAACGCAAAGGGCACGGCAAGGAGGAGAAAGCCATGGCCTGGCCTGGCCTGGCCTGGCAGGGCAGTGGCTGCCTGTGTAGCACAGGCTGAGGAAGCTCCTGGGCCAGTGCTGCCTGCTCCTTGGCTCTGATGCTCTTAGAGCCTGGTACAGACTCAGGTGGGAGACCTCGTGCCTCGCAGTCCCCAGGGTGATGGGAGAGGCTGCCCAGCGCTGCAGCTGCAAGCTGTTGGTGCTGGTGCTAAGGGGCAGTCCCATGATGCAAGTTGCGGGTGCTGATTTCTTGGTCCCTCCCAGCAGCCATCACCCAGGGCTCCTCAGGCACCAGGCGCACATGGGCAGCGTCCATGACCATGGGATCGGTCGTTTCTGGCCAAGCAGCTTCCACCAGCACCGGCCTCCCTGACACCACCCAGCTCAGAAGCGGGAGTGCGCCCGTGTTGCCAGGTGATTTGGGGGGACGGGGCTTCTGCAGGAGGTGAAGGGCAGGGCTTTGTTTAGGCAGCACTTTCCTGCTGGACCTGGCTGAGCTGACCGGGCTCAGCAGCCCTAAGGGGCTGGGGCTGGGGCTGGGGCTGGGGCTGTGCAGAGCCTTGCCGTGCAAAGGGAAGGTGCTTCCCTCACTCGCTGCCCCAGTCCCCAGCCCTGGCGGGTGCAGGGGAATCTGAAATGCCGCCCCTTGCCCCTCTGGATGCACTGGATGCATCGGCTCCTGCCGGTGCTGCCAGCTCCCTTTAGCCAGGCTCTTCCTCCTCTGCCCACCCCGGCTCACAGAGGTGTGTTGCTTTCCAGGGACTCCTGTGCCCTTCTCTGGCCAGTGCCCCTCAGGCCTTGCAGGAGACGCCGCTTCCTCTGGTAAGGATGGAGTTGGTGCTGCAGGCTTGAGGAGCTGATGTTGTCCCCTTGGGCTGGGGGATGGCGGAAGGGCCAGGCTGTGCTGTGGGAGCCAGCTCGGGTGGTAGCTGCTGGGCTCCAGGAATGCAAAACCTGCCATTCCCCCAGGAATAGGGATGGTGGTAGCCCCGGTGCCAGCCCAGAGTGCGGCTGCAGAGACCTGAGCAACATTTGTACTTCCAGGTTCGTCCAGCTCTGCCTCTTCCACCCGATCAAGATCCAGGGACAGAGCCTGCAAGCAGCACAAGGAACGGATCCATCATTTCCGCAATAAGTAATGGCCAGTTTTGCTGGCCCTCACCCACAGGGGCTCCGGTCCAGAGCAGCCCCGAGGCGGGACCAGAGCGGTGGGGCAAGGCCCCGTTTCTGCTGCCGGCAAGAAGCTGTGCTGGGTGGCAGCGCCCGGGGTGGGACAGGGGGAACTCTTCCTGCTGGAAGAACTCCCCAGCCAAGGCTGGTGAAGCTCTGGGCGTCTGTGCAGCGTTTCCGTCCTGGCTTATTTTGCCACGGTTCCTAAGGTGCAAACCTCTGATGCAGCCCTGGCAGTCTCTGCCCTCCCTTCTTATCCCCCCTCTGCTGTGCCCCCTCCCCATGTCAGGATGCTCTGGGGCCACTGGGGGAGTCCAGAGGGGATGGGGTCCTTCTCCCCCTCCCCAAATTCAAATTGTTTCTCATTTGTGGCTCATCCCCACCCGTTTGGGATTTACCAGCTCCCAGGAGCTGCGGCGCTCTCTCCCCTGATGCCGTTCAGTGGGAGAGGGGCAGAGGCTGCAGGAGCCAGAGGTCACCCCACAGCTGCCCCCCCCCCCCACCCGTGGGGTCCCCACCACCCCCAGGAGGGAGGGCTTCGCTGCCAGGTCTTTGAGCCCTGTGATTGCGGGTGTTGGGTGCAGTCTGAATTACCGAAAAAAACACAAATAATGAAACGTTTCTTAATGAAATCACACTTAGTTTTTATATTTGAGCTGTTACAGCATCTCCTTCCTTCTAAATTGCGATGTGCATGGCTGGGACTAAAGCTGCTCTGTTTGGGTTTTTTCTTCCTGAAGGAGGAGGACCGCAGAGAGGCCAAGTGGCCTTTTGCACCACCAACGGCAAAACGTCGTCGACTTTGGTATTTGTTGAAGATTTTTATTGTTCTGTTTTTATTCTACAGTTGTTCTCATATTCTTGTTACACGGTTGTTTTCTTCTTACACTGTAGTTGTTTTATTTTTCCTTTTTGTTGTTATACTGTTCTTTTGTTGTTATACAGTAAACTAGTGGTTTTTACCCTAATCTTGCTATCATTTTAGCATGTTTTTATTGTCAGTATAAAAATCCCACCCCAACACCTTACCCCCATCCCCTGTTTTTATGTCCCCCACTTAAAATAAACAGACGATGTTCACATCTGCCTTCCCTGTGTTTGATTCCTGGGCCAGGGCACAGGTGGTGCTTTCCAGCACCCTCTGCTTGACCCATCACTAAGTGTCCCCTCTGACTGAAGATGCTCCCCATGCTGCTGCAGCACCCACTTTGCAGAAGGTGAAGGACAAAGAAGTGCCTTGGCAACAGCAACCAGAGGAGCCTTGACACGCTTGAGCAGAGGTGGACTGGCTGAACAAAGCACCTATGGTGCTCCCCAAGCCCAGGGATGGCAGCAGCATAATCTGTACGGCTGGGAGAGGGCAGGTGGGGAAGCTGGGGGCAAGGCGCAGGCAGGATGGGGCAGCCGCAGGCTGCACGTGCCAGAGCTCCTGCCCTTGCGTGACCGTTTCCTTTCAGTTGCTTGAAATATTTCAGGGCATCGTTTCCCTGATGGTGCACGTGGGTTGTCCCCAGTTTGATGGCTGTGTTCCCCTTCTGCTCCCATCCCTGCCATC